ATTTCTTACATCATAAAAATGTTTTTCAAACTTGTTTAAGTCATTAAAAACACTTGGTGTTCGCCCAAACCAAAAACCAAGCCATCCAGTGTTCGGCTTTAAGAAACCAGCGTTCGGCTTTCGGTTGTCGGGTTTGGTTTTTGGCATCCGAACCAACCAAGTGGTTTTCAGCATTTTATGATCTGCTTTCACTCTTTGGCATGTTTAAACGGTTCTCCAACAAAAACACTTTGAAAACCATCTCTCGTTTTTAGTCGTTTGACAAAAACCACGCAAAACGGCGTAAACTTGGCTAGCCGTGGTTTTTAATCAAATGAAGTGATTTTTAAAGTGTCTCACTTGATTTCTTAGCCAAATACATCAAATAAGTGTTTTAAACATTTGGTTTTTATTTTGGAGAACCTTGGATTTTTCGGTCGGTTTTGCATCGGTTGGCTAGGCTGTGGTTAAGGCAAAAACCACAGGTCTTTGGCTAACCGCCCAAACATAGAAGCACCAAGCTTACATTTCATGGGGAGGTGATTCCGGCGATGAGTCATCGGAAGGCAAAGAAAATGAAAGCGCCAACCTCTGCCTCATGGCGCACGAAGAACCACCGGAAGAGGTATGTACCACTTCTAAAGATTCCTATACTTTTGATGATGTACAAGAAGCCTTTAATGATCTCTATGATGAATATGTCAACGCTTCTAAAATTAACAAGGATTTGAAGAAACATCTTACTTCCATGGAGAAGGAAGTTGATAAACTATCAAAAGATAATGAAAAACTTAAAGAAGAAAATAAGTTTTTCGGAAAAAGAAGCGCCGACAAACCGGAAAGTTCAAAATGTAGTTCTTGTATATCACTTAAGGATCAAGTTGCAAAACTTGAAGGAACATTGACGAAGTTTGGTGTTTCTCATAAAAACCTTAATGATGTTCTTGATAATCTGCAACTTACTAAACATGGCTTAGGTTTTGAAAATGAAACAAATAACAAGGAAAAAGTTGAGCAACCACCTAAACAACCTAATGCTCAACCTAGAAAAACTAAAATGAACAATAATAGACAATCTACATCAACCAGGAACACTAGACCACCTAGAAAGAACTCTAGGATAAACAATGATCAAGTTAGAGAATCTAGAAACCATTTTCCAAATATGCATAAACAAAACTTTTCTCAAACTAGGGTCAAGCAACATAGAAAACCTAGTAACTATTATCAACCTAGGAGAATGCATAATCCAAATGTTATTTGTCATTATTGCAATAGGTTAGGACATATAGCCCCAGTTTGTTTCACTAGGCATATGCATTGCACTCAAAACCAATCACACTACCAACGTGCACCTAACGCCCAAGGACCCAAAAGGAATTGGGTACCTAAAACCTTTTAAACTGGTTTGTAGGTGTGCTTGAAGGCATCAAGTGTACTTTGGTACCTTGATAGCGGATGCTCCAAGCACATGACCGGAGATGCATTCAAGTTTTTGCAAATCAAACCAACCAAAGGAGGAAACGTTGTCTTTGGCGATAATAGCAAAGGCAAGATAATCGGCATTGGTTCGGTTGGTAAAAACGAAACCTCCTCCATTGATAATATTTTGTTGGTTAAGGGTCTTAAACACAATCNTGAGTTGTTCTTGAGCGTATATAGTTTACTCAACATCTACTCTAAAAGAGAGCCTTGTTCTTGAGTGTCTTAGTGTTGTATACACGTTAAGGGAAGCTTGTTTCCCTTGGCTGTACGAAGGAAAGGTATTTTCCTTCGGGTTGAAGTCTTGGAGTGCGGTATCTCCGAGCAAGTGTTGTTGAGGCTCGTGGGACTCGAGTTCTCAGGTTGTAACGGTTTGTTAAGCACCCGTAAGTTTAACGGAGGTAGTGTAGCTCGAGAGAGTCTCTCGGGAGGCTGGATTAGCCACAAGTTGTGGTGAACCAGGGAAAAATTCGGTGTGCCTCTTACTCTTCTCTTTACTTCTCTTTTAAGTTTTTTTATTCCTGCGATTTCTACGATCAAACGCTATTCACCCCCCCCTCTAGCGTTGGTCACTCATTCTAACAATTGGTATTAGAGCCTAACTCGCGTCTAAACTTAACCGTTTGAGAGTAAAGCGATCATGGGTTCTTCTTCTAGAAATCTTTATGCAGAGATTGGAGAAGGTCAATCAACTACACGGCCACCTCTTTTTGATGGAACCAATTATACATATTGGAAAGAACGAATGAGAATCTATATTCGTTCCACGAACTTCCAATTATGGTTGGTTATCAAAAACGGGGAAATGGTGCCGATGAAGAAAGTCGGAGACAAGTTGATCCCCAAGACCGAAGACGAGTTTGATGCCGAGGACATAAAAAAGGTCGAGAATTACGCAAAGGCAACAAACATGCTTTATTGTGCCGTAAATCCCGACGACTACCGCAAGATCTCCTGTTGCTCAACCGCCAAGGAGATGTGGGATAAACTTGAGGTGACGTACGAAGGAAAGGACCAAGTACGTGAAGCCAAGATTGACTTCCTCACCCAAGAATATGAGATGTTCAGGATGAAGGAGCACGAGAAGATTGACGACATGTTCGACCGATTTTCCAAGATAGTCAACGATCTTCATGCATTGAAGAGGACTTACACCGACAAGGATCTTGTACGAAAGATCCTACGGAGCTTAACATCCGAATGGCGATCTAAGGCCGATGCCATCTATGAGTCAATCGGCACATCAAATGTCACCATCGACGGTTTAAGAGGTAACTTAAAAACTTATGAATCTACTATACTTAACCCGTCTTTGAATGACCAAAGGAAAGGCATAGCATTAAAAGCCTTCAAAGAACCAACGATGAATGACTCAAGCGACGATGATGAAGTCAAGCTTGTCATGAAGAGGTTTTGCAAA